GCCGCACTGCTGCCCTGGGACTTCCTAAGGCATCTCAACTCTCAGTACCTATAAGTAGCTTTTTTCAGTATTTTCTATTTACCCTATTGGTAAATGATTACCTGTCAGTCTGAGAAGATACACCAGCCTTCAAAAGCCACTAGACATCCAGGTATTAGCATGTGAAGGTCAGGGTACAGGATCTAGCTTCACATTGATTCTGGTGACAGCAGCCCGCTGGGCTCAGGTCTCCAGGTGTCCTCATGAGATGAATTCTCCCTGGTTTCAGTCCAGCCATGGACCCTGGATCACTCATGTCCCCCTGCCATGCTTTCTGCCCAAGGATAAGAAGGCTGATTACTAATAGAAAGGAGATTTTGACCAGCAAAGATAGATGACTGCTGTGTCCAGAATGACATCGACAATCTCTGTCTTCATTCACAGATTCCCATTCATCAAAAGAATACTATGGATGGAGCCTAAACTTCTGTATCATGAAAATGTATCCCTACCCTGTAGCATTCATTGCCTGTTATCATTTTCCAGGTAGGCCATGACCCACTGTGAGCTCTCCATCCTGCAACCACACAAGGGGACTGAATCTTGATGACATTGCTGCCCTCTTGGTCTAGTGAGGAGGAATACAGAATCAGACTAGACACAGCAGGTAGAATCCAATGAGAGCCTAGTGCTCTGGCCTTGGAAGACCCAGCTGATCCTAGAGCCCAAGAGACACCAACAAAAGGAGTCAGTGGAGCATGGTTGGGCCAAGCCATGGAAAGAAAGATTTTCTTTTTGAACAAATGTACATATACATATAAATATGTTTAATTATTGTCTTTATGTAAATATAAAAAGGATTTTCCATTGAACAAGACACTTTTGGGGAAAAGTTATAGTGATCAAGGTTGCCCCTTGAAACATTTTCACCTGTCCTGTCCCTACCCACATTCTTCCCTTACTATTTTTATTTTATAGGATACATATTGGAATCTAGCTGAGAATTGCGTTTTGACTGGCAGGCACTATCTCAGAACAACCACAATCCATAATGAGACTTACCATTGCTGCTCAGCTGATCTTGCAGTGGACACACACTGCTGTGCTATCTGCTATTTTACAGACCAGAAAACACTATAGAGCCTGAGGAACAATTCAGGTTAGGGGTGGTGAATGTACACTTTGATCCCAGCACTGATCCTTTTAAATATTAAATGTTATGAAATTCCATGAGCTACAGCTTTCCATCCATGAACTGATACCTTAACATCTCCCACATATAAAGAGGAAACACTAATGTCTGTGTATGTATTATAATATCCAATGTGCATTAAAGCACAAAGCAGGGACAGTCCAGAGAGTTAGGAAATAAAATGCTCAGAAGCTGTCTGAGCTGGGCAGGACAGAGAAGGGTTACCACAACTGGAGAAGGCTCCTGGAGTTTGCTAAGGCTGGGCCTCAGCCTCACCCCCTAAGTGACATCTTCAGCTGGGGCAGGAAGGTTTGGGTAGAGAAAGCCAGTCCCTGTGCAGGGCTGTGCAAGCTGCTGGCACACAGATACAGCGCGGAGTCCCTCAGCTCCAAGGCGCTCATGTTCAGCTCAGAGTGATAGTCACTGAACTGACGAGCTGAGAAGCGCCCAGGGATGCTTCCTTTATGTCTCTCTGACTCTTCAAAATAGGAAATGAGGAACTGGAGGGTCTTGTCTTCAGCCTGCTGGTACCAGTACACAGTATAATGTCCAGAGTCAGGAGAGCACTGAAGAGTGGCCTTTCCTCCCTTGGCTTTGATCAGGTGTCTGGGGGACTGGAGGACCCCAGCATGCACCACACCTAGGCAGGAAGAGACAGCAATGAAG